TCGTTATATGTCAATTCTACTGTAGTTGCCTTTGGAGGAGACAATGATCATAGCGGTCATACAATAAGCGCCAAATTTCTTTCCAGTTAGCATTCTCTTGGTGTCTGAGAAAAAAAGTCGCTAGGGACCAGATCTCGAGAAAATGGTGGATGCGAAGCCCAATTCATGCAATTTGCGATACGGTGCATTGTCTTGATGGAACAGAACTTTCTTTTTTTTCGAATGAGACCGTTTTTCTGCGATTTCGTCCTTCGACCGCTCAAATAACGCTATGTAAAAGTCTGTGTTGATGTCTTTCTTCAAAATAGTCGACGAATAAAACTATTGATACCATAACCTTGCCAGTCGACTATTGCATCTTTGTACGCTTTGGAGTCGGTTCACCACGTGCAGTCCACTCAGATGACTATCGTTTTGATTCTGGTGTGAAATGATGGAGCCAAGTTTCATTCATTGTCACATATCGACGCATAAATTTTGATTTCTTATAGTGGAACAGCTTCAGACATTGCTCAGAATCATCAATTCGTTGCTGTTTTTGATTAATTTTGAACGTTGCTTTTGTATTCCCCAATATTCATGCACGTATCCAATACGTTCCTTTGATATCTTTAGAACCTCAGTTATCTTGGTCGACTTCACTTTGCGGCCATCTAAAATTTCTTTGTGGACGGTTCTTATCCTGGTGCAAAGTCTGAATAATGTTTATCAAGCCAAGCCTTGGCTTCAACTGTATCTTTCCCCAAAAAGCAATGCTTTATTAACAGACGAAATTGCTTTTTATCAATTTTCTTCAAACTAACAGAATTTGCTTCACTCAGATTGTTCTATCCCACAAACTAATAGTCCGATAGCTGTGAAGTTTTGTATACGTGTCCTCTAAAGGTTACGGCTGAATCGCATACATTCAATACTAGTAGTGCTATCTGTGTGTTAGCTTACGAACTTTTCGGCCCACCTAATTACTATAGCTCAAGACTTTTTAGCTTTTTTAATCAGTGTGTAGTCGAAGTAACTGGTATTGTGCATACTTAAAGTGTCGGTGCCCTCAAAGGCCAAAAGAAAACAATACAATGACATAAAGTCGCTGCCAACTAGTCCACGTGGACTGAAGAATTGGCGTTTTGAATTGGATGATTTTTATTAATCGAGTTTATGATTGGCTGAAGAGTCATAAAATTGAATTTTGAAGTCATGTTACGGTGACGAATAGAATGCGAGTCATCGTGTTGTCAATGTTCAATTCAGGAACTGATCGCGATTTGAGTGTTGAAATTTGATACTGGTGCAGTTATAATTACTTAAA